GGCTACTTTTTCACCTTTTTTCTGGCCCTCCAAAATCGAGGTTCTTACCGGGCCAACAACCGGGCTGAACATGCTAAACTAGTGACGTCAACACTCTCGACTGCTGAATGGTCAGAGAGAATCGCTGGCAAGGGGGCTACAACTACAAAAAAATGAAAATATTCTACCGTGATTTAATTGTAATACACGTTTCAAAATGATGCCGAAGTAACAACATACTGATACCGGTTAGTAGAAACCATGAATGAATGCTTTGACAAGACGGGAGGCGAAAAACCTTTTAAGCCTGCTGAACAGCCGATTGCCCCGCCTACACTGCGTTACTATAGTTACTACCCCAGTACTAAACTGTAATGGAAACGCAGCATAAAGTGAGCTTGGCCTACCAAGGCCTAACCATACCGTACTAAGCCGTGCTAGGTCCTGCAGTGGAAAAGCGCCATAAGTTAACTTGAAAGACCCCTCACATCGATGGAAAGACCTTGAGGGTGGCTATTAAAATCCATAATAATTGTATGTCTGAGACACTCTGCTGAAGAGAGGAACAGTCTTGCCTTCCTTGCTTAACATGCTGCCTCCAGTTGTGTATTAATGGATGAACGGTATACGTTGTGTTTTGCAGGATTATTGCCACTTGTGGAGAACTGCTAAGACAATGTGGAGCCTTTGAGCAGCAGCTATCAAACAGGTAAGAGTGCTTGAATGTCATAATGTGTTGTGGTTGTTTCACCCTAGAGCATTCCTCTCTGTATGTGAGTCATGTAAGGCACAATGTCAGATTTTTCTAATTACATTAATTATCTTAATACAATCGATGCTTCCCACAGGATCCTGGGCTCGGCAGGTAAATATTTGTCAGACTCGTACAGCCCACGCAGCCTGGCAGGCCTCCAGGAGGCCAGCTCCACTGACAGGAGGAGCACCACCAAGAACCCCTGGCAGGAGTACAACTACCTTCAGAGGGGAAACATGGCTGAATACAACAGCCTGATGGAAGTTCTCTTCTCCCTAAAGGTATGGAGTGTGTCATGTGGTGCATGGCTAATGTTGACGATTTCCTATGAAAAGAGCTGACAAAGGTTCAAGGTTCTTTATTTAGTCATACGAACATAGCTACCTTGTAGTTATGCCGATTACATTCTTAGGTCACAGGCTTCTCCAACAGTGCAATACAATAACACAGATAAACAGAAAAACATTTAAAAAAATTAAATAGTGCAATAAGAGTCTATATGCAAGTTATTGGAATGATATATTAGATAAATAGATAAATAATTACTAAGTAGCAGATGAATGTTGTTTTAATTATTCAAAATTAGCTGTGGCATTTTTATCTAGTGATTTATAAAAGCTTTTTATCACACATTCTTCCCCTTGTGTTGCAGGAGAAGGGCACAGGTAACTCCAGCCTGTTAGTCGAGCCCAGAGCAGCTCTGATCAGACTCAACCAGCAGGCCAACCAGCTGGCCTTCGACTCCGTCTTCCTGCAAATCAAACACCAGCTCTGCCTCGTCTCCAAGATGGAGGTGATTAAGTGTCAAGTTACTACATGATTAGATTTGAAATACTGATTTGAGTGCATTGCAGAGAGCTTTAGGACTGTTTGAGTGTTGGGGCGTGCTATGTCTATTTGAATCCAACCTCACACTGTTTGATTCCTCCCCCGGTGTTGGTGTTCAGAGACAAGAGGAATCTGGGTTTGGAGAGAGCTACACAGAGGACCTGCCGACTTTCAGCCTGTCCCCGCAGGAGTACATTACAAACGTTAGTCCAGCTCGGTTTAACATACAACATGAAATTGAATTAAATGTGCAGTGCTGATCAATAAATATAAAGCAGGACCTGCCTTGTAACGTGTAATACAACTGATTTCAAATGATGATGTTGTATCAAACTATATGTCTGCCTTTCCCTCCAGATTGGTCAGTACCTGATGTCTCTGCCTCTCCACTTGGAGCCATTTGTGACTCAGGAGGACCCGGCACTAGAGATGGCGTTGCATGCTGGGAAGCTCCCTTTCCCTCCAGAGCAAGGTGTCTGTACAACAACCCTCATCCTCTTTTCAATCTAACACTCCACATGATATTTATTTTTCTCCCTGCTCCCTTTCCTCCAATTACTGCAGCCTTCTTTCTTTCCGGTATTTACCTTGAGCTTAAAACGGCTTCTTGTTTATTTTAATCCTTTTTTTTCTGTTGTCCTCAATATTGAAAGTGAGTAAGAGTCACTTAACACAATGAATTAATTGTCAAATTATAAAATATATATAGATTTTTTTTAAAGAGAGCAAACTGAGAAATGTAACTTTGACTCCTCAGTAGCAAGTCCAGTTTTTTCCTTTTCCTTCATAAGTTAAAGTCAATCCTCTTTGAGAACAAGATGATGTCAAAAACAAACTAAGTACTAAATAACACACCAATCTGCCATGATAATGTTTTTACCTTTTCTATTTCACATAATGTTGACATCTATCCTGTATCTTCAGTATCTATACCTCCCTTCCAACCTAATTTAAACTCCCCATCTGCCTAAAACAGTATCTACCTCATACCACTTCTGTTTACACTCTGTACACCTTTTTAAAGCCTCATCTGTTTTCTGTCTCAGGCGACGATCTTCCCGAGCTGGACAACACTGCAGATTACTGGCTGGGCTCCATCGCCCGGGCAACCATGCAGACCTACTGTGACTCCATCCTGCTCATCCCCCAGCTGGGCCCCCATTCCACTAAACAGCTGGCCACAGATATCGGTACACTAACCAGAACGAGGGACAGACGCATATAGTTAGCAAGTCTTGTTACGGAAAAGAGTTAGCATTTTAGCACATCTGCTTCTCTTGTCTCGTGCAGAAATAAGGTCTGTGCTTCAAACAGGTGTAAGATATTTTATTGTTTTAAGACATAAAATACGCCAGTACATACACATAATTATAAATATCAGAAGTGTGGTTTAAACAGGTGATATATGTGACTACTAAACTTCATCACACTGAACACATGTCCACCTTTAGCTATGTTGGGTTGATGTGAGTTATGCTACCTGGGTGTACTGTTTTTATAGCCTTACTGTAGCTTTTAACTTGAGTTGATTGAATTTCACCCACATTTTAATTTTTTTATTTGTGGAGATTATCCTGCTGATCATTAAAGTGTGTTTAAGTGTATTTTCTGCCAAAATCCAATGAAAAATCCCATTGGCTTTTTATTTGTGAGAGCCAGTGCAATGCTAGCTTCAGGTCCGGTCTATACAAATACATAATTCCTGCACCACTCTAAGGGTCACAGGAAAACATGTCATATATTGATGACTGGTGTTCCCCGCTCCACAGACTATCTGAGCAACGTGATGGACGCTCTGGGCCTGCAGCCGTCCCGCGGCCTGCAGCACATCGTCACCTTGCTGAGGGCCAAACCAGAAGACTTCAGACAGACCGCCAAACTGCTGCCCCGCCGGCTGGCCTCCACCATCGCTGCTGTCCGGCACATCGACTACTAACAGCAGGAAGAGAATAAAGGACTGTAGGTAAAAGTGGCTCTGAGAGCAGCACTCGGGACGTTGGATAAGTGAAGAAGAATGTGATATCAATGGTTGGTTTACTTGTTATCTCAAATGTAGAGCCGCAGCATTTTAAGATAAGAGAAATAGGAATGGCATTTATGAGAATGTTTAAAGAATGACATTAGGGTGGTTCAGACTTTTTTATACTGATTTTTGTTGTGACTTTGAATGACCAACGGTGATACTGCTTTCAAGTCAAGTCTCTTGACTCAACATATTTAATTTCTGCATTATTTTAAGTTGCATCTAACGAGCTAACATTATATACATCAGGGGATGTTTGACAGCATTTGAAATCTATGTGACTGATATATTTGTTGTTGATCATTTGTAAGACCAATATAATTGATCTATTATATTAAATTAAGGTAATGTCTCTGATATGAGCTGTATTGTTTTCTGTAAACTCTGCAGTTTACTTCCAAAGTTAAGGTGAAGGTGAGCTTTTTTCTCCATATTTTTCCATGCAGTATCATAATAATTTGTACATAAAACATTGACACTAAATAGAGCCTATTGTGTTTTCAATCAGTGTTCTTCCGCTAGATGAAATAGGGACTGGGCTGGATTTGTAATGTAATAAATCCAGTTTATAATGTATGGCCTTATCTGCTAAATCCATATTTTGGGTATCCTCAATTGCTTAAACTGTCTGTTATTTATTCCTCACAAGTTCCGCATGACGCCTTCTTTGTTCTTTAAAGATGTTAAATGTATTTTCACCTTCAAGTCGTGAAACGTCTGTCTGTGAAAGTGAACTGTCGGGGAACATATGCAGAAAGATACTTAACAAACAGGTAAGACTCTTGACTGATAACAGTGACAAAATGGGCTTTTCATGTTTTTGGGAAATGCTTAAAATAGGACATCTGAAGTAGTGCTAAAAATACTGACTGATTGGGTGATTATTATTTTTTGGGACCATTTTAAACTACAAAATTATTTAAATTATTGCTGAAAACTGGTAGTTTATTGAGATAAGTTTGATAGCTGATTTATTTAATGATGTATCTTTTTCAAGCAAGAATGCCACATTTCCTTGTTTCAGCTTTCCTAATGTCGCTGCTTTTTGGTGTCTGTGAAGATTGGATATCTTTAGATTTTTAGACTGTCAAATTTAGTTTAGTTAATAGTGACGGGTATTTATCACCATTTTAATAAAAACAATGAATTAGTTATTTGTAGATGTAATAAAATGAATATTAATGTTAAGACACGTTTTTTGGATCAATAGCTATTTATAATACCTGACAATGTGTACAACAATAACATCAAACTCATTGTAGAACTCTTAAAGGGACAGGACTCCTGTGACACTAACCATCGTTTGTGTTTTAGCCTCGAGCTGTAGAAATATAGTTACTATTTCCATAATGTATAACACACCATTTTATATTCCCTGTAAATGGTGTGATAATGTATGACCATTACAACTGGCTCGCATCAGAGTGCACTTGGTCCAGATCGGAGCATCATCAGCATCACATGCCGTGTACCTGCTCCTCCAACATGGACCGTGTTTGGCCCTGACGTCAGCCGTCACCGCCCTGCCTGCAGTATCCTCGCTGCCTGCAGATGATGATGGAGACGGGAGAAGCGGCCTCGCCATGAATCCCATCCGGGGGAGGAATTAAAGCGCATGGACGGAGAGTGAGACACGGAGGGGGAAAACCACTTACGGATGAGGAGGACCGGTCACCTTTCACATCTGGCGGGCGAAGAGATGCTCCACGGCGGCGAGACGCAAGGGAGCGGCGGGCTGTGGCGCTCCGCTCCGGCTGTTCCTCGGCACTTTGGCAGGGGCACTGTGAAGGCGATTTAGGGAACACATCCACGGGGTAAACACCACCAGAAGGATCCGTTTTCAACACCGTCGTGGATGTGATGATGAAGACATGTCTTTTAACAGGGTGGAGCTGCGGTTTCTTTAATAAATTATGAGGAATTCCGCTCAGCCTAATTTGATGTTTATGTCTGACTGATACTCGCCCCACAGCGCCTTGTTTTCGCGTGTGAACAATGACACAGGTGATGTTATGTCACCGGACCGAGCGAGGGGGATGATGATGGCTGCTGGCTGGTGCGGGACGACCCAGATCATTCGCGTAAAGCTCCCTTACAGCGGCTCTCCATGGAGGCTGTTTATGCAATCCGACGCAGTGTTGCAAGTGGGCTGATTTCACTCCAGCACTGTCTCCATGTGATAGCTTATGATCCCCACAAACTGCCAGGCCTCTTGTGTTTCTGTGAAATATGCTCGGGCCTTGCGTAAAAAAACAAGATAAAGTGAAACACTGCATGGAGGGGGCTGAGGAGACTCTCTGAGTAAAAAGGGGGGATTTTCTGGAATTTAAAAGCGGGAAAAAAAGCCACCAGAATGTCGAAAGTTGTCAGTAACAAGGAGAAGAAATCCTTCAGTAAAAAACTCTTCCGGAGAAGCTCGGTCCGCTCCGTGGGGAGCTTTATGAACAGAGTTCTCCGGACTCTGTCCACTTTGTCTCATTTCAGCACCGACGAGCAGGCCGCCGAGGATGAGAAGGACGACGCCGGCTCGATCCTTACCACCACCGGGGGGTCTCTGCCGTCCGACGACAGCGACTGCGGGGGGTTTCCCTTCGGGGACAAGGTGCCAGGTGTAGCAGGGCTCAAGAACCACGGGAACACCTGCTTCATGAACGCTATCCTGCAGTGCCTGAGCAACACGGAGCTGTTCGCAGAGTACCTGGCTCTGGAGCAGTTCAAAGGCGGGGAGTCCACCAGCAGCAGCAGCGAGAAGGCCAAGTCTAACGGGGTGCTGGTGGTACAGAAGAAGGGCAGCCAGCAGCAGCAGCAGCAGGACGCAGGGGAGGTGACGGAGCAGCTGTCCGGCCTGGTGCGGGCTCTCTGGACCTTTGAGTACACACCTCAGCACAGCAGGGACTTCAAGGTAGGCTGTGCATCATGCAGGGGGGCTCACTGTGTGTCTGAGGAGGGTTTTGGGGAGGAAATGGGTTATAAAGGAATCACACAACAACTACCTAAAGGACACAATGTTCTCATATGGAGATATAGGGGTAGATGTTAAGCAGTAGTGGAAGAAGTACTCGGATCCTTACAGTACAAGTAGAAATACTACAATCTGAAAATACTCAATTACAAGTCCATTGCAAGTAAAAGCACTGAATTCAGATACTCAGTGTTTACAAAAGTATTATCATCTCAATAGCAACAGTGTTGTGATACAGAATAGCTATTTTCACAGTAGTATATTATTAGATATATTGTATTCTGCCTTATCACTTACAAATTCACAAGTATTTGAATTTGTCAAGAGACTCTGGGTTCATTAGTAGTATTGTACTGCATCATGTCAATATGTTAAATATTTTATATGTTTAAAGTAACAAGTAATGAGTATTCAATAAATTAAGTAACGAGTCGATATTTGCTTCTGAGATGTAATAAAGTAGAAGTAAAGAGTAGCATACCATGGAAATGCCAGTAGAAAGTATGTCCAAATGGTACATTTCCTTAAGTAGGCCACAGTACTTCAGTAAATGTCCTTAGTTATGGTTTTAGTGCATATGGACTCAAGATTCAAAGACTCAAAGGTGTTATTTTCATATATGCACAACAGTTACAACAGTGCAACATACAATTATTTAGTAAAAGAGTGTAAAGTAACACGCAGGATTAGGCAAACTATATAAATGTCAAATCCTGACTAGAATAAAGTTTCCCTGTGCCTTCACTGCCCCTGATCTATTTGAATTCTCACTGAGGGACTGAAACACACTGAGATGTCAGGTGATGATGGTCTTCTCAAGTTAATAGCTTTGTTGTTGTTTTCATTTGCTGTCAGTAGCCCCAGCTTCAATGTTAGTCATTTCAGGTCCTTATTGGATAGCAGTTCACTATATACTAGCTTTAATCATTATATATAACATATGTGAACAGTAAGAAAACACTATGTTACGCAAGCCTACATTTAAAAAAAACAATAAGTAGAAAACATATGTTCTGTACTGACATGAATAACTCTAAATGCAGATGCTTTAGTCCCACTGCTTAGTATAGAACATCTGAATATCAGTCTATCTTATATAATGAAATATTCTATTTTTTTTAGAATGTTTGCAGAAAGGATGATGAGAATAAGCACTGGCCTTGAGTGACTGCTTAACAAACCTCTAGTCAAGTCTGTTCTTTGTTATCTTATTTCATATTTTATATAAAAAAAGTAGTTTTCTCTGGTCATCACAATCACCTGATTACGGATTATGTAACATGTGGGCTAACAATAAGCCTTTTTATAGGATTCAAATCCTATTGAACAGGTGAAGTCTGTTTTTCTGTGTCACTTCTAGCCGCTCGTCTGAGCCCTAGATCTGAGTCTCATCTGTTTTTGGATTTGCTTTATTGTCTGTCCCACATTTATCAGCTTCTGTTGTGGCCTCGCCTGCTTTTTCATCGCTTCTCGCACTTAAAACTTTGCTTGTCATAGTCACAAAGGTTTGTTCTTACGCAACAGTGAAGCATTTTGGTCTTATTCTCTTCTTTCAAAAGTTCAAAAATACTCAACAAAGGGAAGCTACATTGAAATGAGTTACTATTTCTGTCCACTTTTTTCTACCTTGGTTGCCAGCCAAAGTACAAACTGTCTGATTGGATATAGATTATACTCTCCCGTCTGAGAGGCCTTGAATGTTTTTGAACTCAGTCGAAAAATAGAGTCCGTCCCCAGACTATCAGGAGCTTTATATAAACAATATGTCACATTTAGTATCTAATTTGTGGAAACTAAGAATACTGTCAGGACATCATAAAGCTAATGGTGATTCATCTTTTTTTATTGTTTGACTGCTCATGGTGATTACTTTTGGCTTGTGACATCCTAACGTTTCTAACTGGATCATTCCTTATATGTTCATGCTGAAGAAACTGAACTTTAGCCAACATGCTTTTCTTTTGTTTAGTGCACTTTAGAGCTCAGAATGCACATGTGACGGTTTTGTGCCTCTTTCCTTCAGACCACAATGTGAGCCTAAACTGAGAGCACTTAAAAATCATTAGGAAGACATCCGTACAATAACACAGGGGAATTATCGCTGTGTGTCAGAGTCCATGTTCTCCCAGAAGCAATCTGTTTCAGGATTATGTTTTTGTACATCGTCTAAGTTGTCTTAGAGCTATGATCTACACCTAATACTGTGATGAACAAGAGAGACATTTACAAGTTGTATTTGACAGTGATAGATGTAGTCTGTAAACAACAAGCTAGCTGAAATCAGTGGTGATATATATTTTTTTAGGCATTTAATTTACTAACACCTGAAGTTAAAGGTGGGGTAGGTAACTTTGGAGAAACCAGCTCGAGTGCACTAGAATTAGAACAAATCTGCCACTTCCTTACAGAGCCCCTCCTCCAACACATGCGAACGCGCACATGACCAATGAGGGCAAGAGATAAGTTTGTGCACAGATGGAAGGCTGACAGGCAGGTAGGCCATCCAGTTATTTTAGCCGGACCGGCTCAGATGATTGGTCGTGCTTTTTACAGCGCTACGGCTTCCACAGATGACATTTTTTAATGTATTTATTGTCAAAGCACTTCATGTATTCATTGCTATCAGGATGTTAAGAGCATTCCATGAAATATAACAAAAAGTGTATCTCGAGCCGGTTTCTCAAACTTACCTACCCCACCTTTAATATTCAGAAAAATAACTTCCAACTTTGATCATTTATTAATTGTTAAAGTAATCTCTCATGCTGTTTTCAGCCTCTCAATGATGATGATTTGCTGTTTCTTTTCTTGAAGGAATAGTTCCATATTAGGTAGATTGATACCACTCCTTGCTTATGATGATTTGCTGCTTTCATCCGTTTTATTTGAAATGAAAGTGAACATCTTTGGTTTTGGACAAGACATCATCGTGGTTTTTGAGAAACAGAAATCAACATATTTTTACAATTCACACCAATTCATCTAGAAAATACCTCCATTGTTTTGGGTAAACTCAATGATTGATATCTGTAAAGAGTAGTCAGTTTCATCATTCCCTATTTGTTTGTACTATTGCATATCATGATTTGTAACTTCTAACAAAGCATCAGACACATGTTTTTACACTTTACATTTTTATACAGCATTATACAAATATTAAAAACAATGTGTCATTGATATTCAGTCCGCATCTCACTCACTGCATACATCTCTAAATAGTGTATTGTCTTTTCAATAGAGTAGTATCCACAGCTTCCAGTTACAGGCCTTTACTTGAAGACAACCCTCTGTTGCCAAGCCACAGAAGGAAGGCTAGTTCATTATTTGCTCCACATCTTGTACAAAATGCTGAGTCTGCATTGGTAAAGCCTTCAGAATGAGGAAGAAAGACCCAGGGGAAAGGCTGTGAGAGGCACATGGTGCTCAGTCCCCTCGTATCTTTGACCTTGCGTGTCATGTGATTGGCGGTAGAGGTGACCTTATAGCTGCCAGCCTGGGTGTTTACATAGAGAACACACTGTTGTCATCTCCTGTAGCTAATTGTCAGTGAGGTTACCCTGTCGATTTTCAGCTCGCCTCATGGTTTTTAAAAGCTTCTCCGCGCCTGCCTGCGTCTCCCCACCACCCTCTGCTGACCTTTCTGTTTGTGCTGATCATCATCCTGGTCAGAAGCGTTGAATATTTTATGATGTCAACAAAACCACTTCTGTTTTAGGAGCCGTATGTAACCATGATTTGTTTGTCCCGCTGCAGAATGTGGTGTCTAAGAGCGCCCTGCAGTTCAAGGGTAACTCCCAGCACGACGCCCAGGAGTTCCTCCTCTGGCTGCTGGATCGAGTCCACGAAGACCTCAACCATATCATCCACCCTGAAATCGTACCCCCCACGAAGGTAAACGGCAACTTACAACAGTTATTGAAAGTTACTAAGTACATTTACTCAATTACAGTCCTAATTCGGCATTTTTCTTCTTATATTACATACATTATATGGTCATTCTGTGTTCTCTAGCCTCCAGTAGAAGAGGAAAATGCCCCTGAAGGATCTCCACTACCAGCACCTGGCTCTTTTGTACAGGAGTTGTTTCAGGCACAATACAGGTGAGACTTTCATATGATGGTTTATATTTGGTTTACAGAGACTGTCAATACAGATGTACTTAATATTAAATGAATTGATGAATCTCAAATGTGTAAAAGGACAACTGTTGGGAAAAGGATGACAGACACATAACACACAACTCTTTGATACTAAACTTCAGGTTCATCAACTAGCTTTTTCCAGAGCTTTTGACCATGTCCAAAGGCCTTCTCCAAAAATTGCACACAGCACTTAAAGCAATTGTATTTTCAAAAAGAAACACTTTGGTTTTAGTAAGGTTCTATGCCGGACTTTGCAGAGTCTTGTTGTTACCCTGAGTTTGCCAGGCAGGATATAGTTTAGCCCATAACCCCTGGTACACTCCAATATATTGGTTTTACACATTCATTTTTGTTATGATAAAACAGAATAGATGTTAATACTTGAAGCTTATAGTTTCACAGTGATCAAGTAATCTTTGGAAGGAGCCAAGTGTATAAGTGTACCTCCCAAAACATTGAACTATTCCTTTAAAATGATACTCTGACAGTTCAGAATCAAGATTGAGCTATCTACCCCTACCCACAATTTAAAGTAATTCACACAGACAAGCTCCAGCTGTCAGAACAAAGTGAAAAAGAAACAATGGCATAAAATATTATTAACATGTCGGGTAGTAATAGATTTATTTATTTTCTTCTCAGAGTGTACCAGAATGCGTAGTTTATGTTAGCATTTCTAAAAATCTCCTGGTGGACAATCCCCCCAGACCCCCTTGAGGGTTTTTCAGCACGTGTGACTTTTTATGTTATACAGTTCAGCTTTGATTCCATCATCTCATTAAACCTTATGTAAAAGCAGTCTTTAGTTCTGTGAAGGGATATAAGGGATATATGCACTGTACTTCACTTTAATTAATAATATATGCTGAAAAGCGTATATATTACAGCACGATTTTTTGTTGAATAGATTTGAGTGGTTCAAACTTTGGGTCGCGATGTATTGACAAACAAAAAAGTGGGTCCCGAGGCCTGACCAGTTGAGAACCACTGCTTTAGATGCATTTGTTAATCCTCATCATGTCTCTGTGTAGGTCCTCGCTGACCTGCCCTCACTGCCAGAAACAGAGCAACACCTTTGATCCTTTCCTCTGCATCTCACTGCCAATCCCGGTACCTCACACACGGTAAGCTGACTCTGCATCTGGTTTACCAGACAATACCTATCAGACGAAACTAAAAGTCCCTGCATCCTAAAAATGCAACGGGACAAGACCTAGTTTGAACCCGGGACGAAAAAGAATGTAAGATCTGACAGGAGGAAGTTAAAATTAGAAGAAGGAGTCTATCTTTGAAACATCACTGCAGCTGTGTTTATGCAAAGAGATACATTTTTGTTTTTCTGTGTTGCAGGCCTCTCTATGTGACAGTGGTGTACCAGGGAAAGTGCTCCCACTGCATGAGAGTGGGGGTGGCGGTGCCTCTTTCCGGCACCGTGTCCAGGCTGAGACAAGCTGTGGCTCAAGAGACCAAAATCCCTACCCAACAGGTGCTGTCTTAATACAAACCTCCATTTTAAAGGCCATGTATGTATACAAATAAGGATTAGAGATCACAAGCGCTACTTTAAGGAAACTGGATGGTCAAAGAGTGTTTTCTGTGAGTCTTGAGAGAGTTTGTTGGTCCTGTTTGTACATTTTTTTTAATAATAATAATTATAACCAAGAGATACAAAAAAAACGTTCAAGGTACAAAAAATTGAAATAAATAAATAGCCTCCGTCATGTTCAACAGGGGCAAGAAAAAGCTTAAAAAACGTTTCTGGTCCTACCCCC